GACACCATTATATGCCTAACCTAGTGGATTTGCTCCTAGACTAAGACCTGATATCTACCTTCCGACTGTGAAACTAATACCGTAATTAGAGTGCCCGAGCTTCGACTCTTCGTCCCGGAATTTCCGTATTGCCTTAGGTAGGTACCTACTCTGTGTCTACACAGCTGATGTGGACGTTTCGCTAAGTTTCTAAGTATCTTGTGGCGAAGGAATGAAACAAACGTAGACCGTCAATAGAGAATTTGATTACGACGCTTGTTCCTAAGGGCAAGCAAACTTTGGTGCCTGTTGAGCCCATAAATAATGCAAGCTGAGCCGGCTATCCTAAGTTTCCTTGTTTTTATATTTATTCTCTTAATTATATTTAATATTTGGTTTTCCTTTCAAGATTAACTAACATCTAGACTCCGACTCCGAATCAAACGAAGAAACCACGAACAGAAATGGTACGGTTATGAGAATGTGTGCTCCCTAACTATTCATTACTAATATGTACAGGTTCTTTTACCTTCAAGTATGCCGCCGTTGGCCATACGGACGAGGGAGGATGAAGTTGACGTCAGATCGATCGACTCCTCCTCAACACTAGCACCGTCAACGCCCGAGACAGAAGATCCCGTTCTGACTATTCATTCACTTGACGATGGTGTCATTGTACAAGTTCAACCTGCTAAATCGCCAACAGAGACGAATATAGGTCACGTGCCGTGTGATATCGTTCTGGTGATCGATGTGTCGGGGAGTATGCTCGGAATGGCTCCTGCGCCGATGAATGACGATCAAGGCAACATCTCCCGAGAAAATTTCGGCCTGTCAGTCTTGGACTTGACTAAGCATGCTGCTCGCACTATTATAGAGACGCTCGATGAAGGCGACAGGCTCGGTGTCGCTACGTTTAGCAATGAGGCAATGGTATTTCTGATCACGGAGCACTAAAATTGATACACACAGGCTGACCATGAACATAGATAATCCAAGAGCTGATTCCAATGACAAAACAAAACAAGAAATTGGCCACCGATAGGATCAAGCAGATGGAGGCCGATGGGCAAACAAATCTATGGCATGGGATACGGAGAGGACTGGAGCTCTTCAAGGGCAATACTGACAACGGCAGCGTACCAGCGGTAATGGTTCTTACCGATGGACAACCTAATCATGGGTGGGTAAAGACGCTCTCATATATATAGTTCCTACTAACAAGTTATGTAGAGCTCCCGACATAGGTTATATCCCGAGTATACAATCTTTGGAAATACTTCGGGCCACCATTCACACTTTTGGTTTTGGATACAACCTTGAATCAGGACTACTGAAATCCATTGCTGAGATCGGCGGCGGCAACTATTCCTTCATTCCCGACGCTGGTATGATCGTAAGGCTCCCTCTTACTTCATGTTTACCCCTTCCTAGTACTAAGCGGAAGTAGGGAACTGTGTTTATCCATTCTGTAGCACATCTTCAATCCACGTATGCGACGAGATGCTCTATCGAAATTACAAGTCCAGCGTTCGTGACCTTAAGGCCAGCAGTCGGCCAATCTATTGGGGATCGGGTGGAAAACCAGCTAGGCTGCGAGAAACTTACCATCAACCTCGGAAACCTGCAATACGGACAGTCTCGAGACATATACCTAAAGAATACCCACGCCAACAGCGCGAAGGACTCGTTCGATATCTCGGACGACGCGCTAGTCCTCAGAGCAAAACTATCATGGTCGCGGATGCGAGCCCCGCAATACAATGTTTTTGTTAAACAGAACTTGCTAGGAAGCTCTCATCTTCCCATGGATGTGGTGGCCTATCACCAAAGCCGGTCGATGCTCTGTAAATTCCTGTCGTCATTTTCTCCACTGACCCAGGCTGGCGAGTACAGGTCGAACCCAGAGATCAATCTAGATGACAGCAAGGCGGCCCTTCTAGGGCTCCTGAATAGCATACCATCTCGGGATTATAGTGACCCGTGCAATCGGTCAATAATGGAGGACATTGCTGGTAGCCCGCCAGCTGGGCAGGTCAGCATAGCGCTGTCGACGGGGGCGTACTTCAGGAAATGGGGTTGTCATTATTTCCTCAGCTTATGGAATGCCCACGCAAAGCAATTGTAAACTGCCTTGATATACTCCTGTGGGACACACAATTGCTAACCCGTGAACTCTCTCTCAGGTGCAACTCTTTCAAGGACCCAGGCCCGCAGATGTATAACGACAACCTATTCTTCACCAAGTGTAGAGACATCCTAAACGAGGCATTCGACAAGCTCCCCCCACCAACGCCTAGCTATACCGCCACGTCGAGATACGCCAGCCAGGGCAAATTCTCCATGAAATCGTACAACAGGTCAAGCAACCCCTGCTTCGCAGGATTAAGCGAAATCGAGCTCGCAGACCGCCGTAAAGTCCCTTTATGCGAGCTTCGGAAGGGCGCGCGTGTCCAGACGCCAAAAGGGGCTAGATGTGTTTATGCGGTGCTGCAGACGAGGTTCAACGGAAATTTGTGCAAGGTTAGCGATCTCCTGGTTACCGACTGGCACCCCATACGCACCGATAACGATGCTGCCTGGGTATTCCCTAACGATGTCACCGAGGGGACAGTATCCTATACCGGACACATCTACTCGGTGTTATTGGAGCAGGATTCAAACGTCGACGCTCATGCTGTGAGAGTTGGTGGGGTCTGGGGAGTCACTCTAGGTCATGGCTTAATGGACGGCATGGACCGGCGGGCGCATCCTTTCTTTGGAGATTACCAGCGAGTGAAGGAGGAGGTTGAGAAGCTGGGGGTAGAGGATAATGGTGTTGCAACGTGCTATGGAGTGGAGAAAAGGGAAGTGGATGGTTTAGTACACGGATTCAAAAAATGACCCAAGTGACATCGGAGCCTGTAGCCCCTTTCCCCCCTTCTTGCTTCTAGAGAGGCGATATTATGCATGACTATGCAATTTTTGGCGATCGCCTGTAGTGATCAAGGCTTCCCCATGGCGAAATACACATAAATAGATCCGGACGAGCTACTTTGCTGAACCGCTTTCTGGCGAATACACTATTCCTCAATATTGAGGCTACACCTACTTATGCCGTACAGTTATTCGTGAATTCGACATCTGTTATTGGGGCTCTAGTTCTCGTATTCCGTACCGTCCACGTGCTACCTGCATTTGGGCGAGAATGGTAGATAGTAAGGCATTCTGATAGGTGCTACAATAGACGGTCGCTCTACACCCAAATTCTCCCCTTGTCTCCCGAGCACCATTGTGTTCTTTGCTCTCATCGCTATAACGCATGATAGTAGGCTAAGATCTTGATAAGGTTCAAAGTATCTCGTACTTGAATAACTGATTAAATATAAATGTTGCTCAGACTGTTTGAAAGTCGTAATAATTTTCTAGTACCTATCTTCGATACCATTGTTGAGAAAAGGGGTCACAAGTAAAAAGGGGACTTCCTAGTGTCTCGGTGTCGATAAAATAAGGATTTTAAAAGAACATTTATCTTCCGCCAGGCAAGAAGGTGGATAGTTGGAATATAAAATGTACAAATCATTCAATTTTAGAATGAATCTCACTAAGATTCTCACATGCTATAAAATGTTGACGATATTCCTCGTACATCAAAGCTAACTACTATTTGCCCCCCCTCTTGGAGGGCAAGTAGCTCACGGAAAACACCTAACAGGGACGATTATCCACACCCTGTATGCCTCTAATTTAGGTAATCATTATAGGAAATGGTTGTATCATGTCTTCCCCCATATCAATCACAGTCACTCAATTGTGTGCACATACTACCTGTATAAGGAATTAAATGTCTCGCATAAGAAGCTAACTTGTATCCAGCCATATTGACCTAAACTAATATAGAGGCCCCCTTACCTCCCGCGCTAGTCTTTCGCAGTTGCTAGTTAAGCCGAAGCCTGGTACCATGAAAGGCCATTCACCAAGTGGTGATGTAATGGATGAGCCACGGCCTTTCCTCCCGCTAGTAAGTCAAGAGCCGGTCTCTTTGTTTTAATTACATACCCACCTAGATGCAAGAATGGACACCTTGGAGTATGGGAACGATGCGTTCGCTCCACGGATACCGTTCGTCATCGACCGATGATTCAAAGTCGTAGGACCGAAAAGGAATATGTATAAGAATTCAAGGGAGATATCCATCCATCAAGTCATCCGGCCACGCTTAAACGGGACGTATTACCGGTTCGCTCTCGCTTGCCTAAACTTCAATCCCCAACGTGTGTCCACATCTACTTCTACAACTAAAGAAATGACTTCTTCCAAGGGGAAACCCACCGATCCCGAACTCCGGGAGCAGATAAAAGAGGGTAAGCATGCCTAGATGGCTCATGTCAGACCAAGAGGCTGAGCGGAACAGAGATTAAGCAAGAACCAAACAAATCCGGAGCTGGCCAGGGACAGTGGTCCGCATGGAAGGTATGGAATGACACCGTTTAGCTGACCTCAGTATCGTTACATCGAGGGCTAATTGTAAGTGTATAGGCAAACAAGCTTGCGAAGGAGTACGAGAAGCAGGGGGGTGATTACGAGAACGAGCCTGGCTCCAAGAACGAGCCTAAGAAAGGAGACCCCGAGCCCAAGAGCGAATCCAAGAAGAAAGCCGAGACATGAGTACGTCCATGGTGGTCACCAAGGAATGCTACCGCACACTGCCTATAATCAAGGTTAGAGCTATAACGTCTGGTTTTACCTATCTTTTGTTTCTATCAGAAGTGTTCACGTCGTTTCAAGTAGGCGGGGAAGGAGGGAAGTAATAGCTTATTCTGCCAGGCTGGTTGACACCGAGCCATCTGGTGTAGTTGCTATCTAGAAATAACATTCTCTGTTGAAATCATATGCCCGGGATCTCTGTTCCCTGAAGGTCTAGAGGTTGACTCCGACGTTAGCTCTCTGCTGGGAAGAACAGTATGACCTGGGTTGCCCATCTATGTTTGCTTTCCCGTTGCGTAGCTTCTCAGATCCTACTTTTCACACTTTTTTTCCAAGTTCGTGTGGTGTAGTGGTTTATCACACCAGTTTCACACCACGTCCCCCTTGAAAGGTGTACACTGGATGTCCTGGGTTCGAATCCCAGCTCGAACAATACCTTTTTCGCACTTCTCACTTTCTGCTTTGTCTTCCTCCCTTTCATTTTCTATAACGTACCTTTATTTTTAGATGTAGCTGTTGCTTCATCCTTACTAGCCTTCAACAACCCAAAACGATACCTAGGTACGGCACGAACAGCGCTCCTGTTTCCCTCTGTCCGAATACTCCGAAAACCATGAGTTCTTAAACCCCACACTAAGTACCTAGGTAAATATTAAATGTGTAATTTTGGGAAATCTCGTTTGAATTTTTACATATCCTCGTTTGGGTAAGATGCTATAAGACATTTGTTGTAGGTAGCCAAGCGTCTAACTAAACTTGTAAGTCATATATTGACTACCTGGTACTTCGATATGATTAGACGACGCCAGGGTACATAGAAAAGAACGTTAAAGCAGCTAGTGTAACTCATACATTTTGGGAAACCGAATGCTGTTGCTCATCGCACTACCTACGGGTAGGGCTTTAGAAGGTACCTACACCTAAGCTAATAGAACGAGTACCTATTTGAATTTAAGTGGCCCATAGTACTTAGTACCTACCTAGGTAGGTACATAGGTAAGGTTAGGTACCTACCTACCTATGGATCCAAGGTAGAGCTTCTGTGGCTGGAGCTCGACAAGTGGGGCTTGAACAGAGAGACAGGGGGGAGCTTCCAGCGTTTCGTGTCAAGTACTTGAACTGCAATTGATACTTACTACAGCCACTTGTCCGCTCTCTCACCCAAGAGCACCTCACTCTTCTGTTCACCACCCACACCGAATTAAACAAAATAATAATGCGGCAATCTCAGGCTTTGGTGCTCATGGGCATCGTAGCCCGGAATGGGATTGCTACAGCCGGATCGTTACCGAGAGGTGTTGGTCCAGAATGTTGGTCCCCCCGTGCTGTTCTAGCTGTTCCTATCGACCCCCCACCACCACCATCGTTCACCACCAGCATTCATCACCATCGCCTCTAGATGGCAAGACCGAGTGCCAATGTGTCGTTCACCTGGGATTTCCCTGCATCTTGTCCACCAATGCTAACCAATTGGGTCTTTCTAGTCGTCAAGTTCTACGAAACTAAGGATAAATTCAGCTGTATAGGCCACCCTTCGGTAACCATCTCGTCTTCTCAGGTCAACGACAACACGTGTGACTGCCCCGATGGCTCTGATGAACCTGGTACGGCCGCGTGCGCCCTTCTCGACCATATTTCACCCGCACAGCCCCTACCTGCCTCGCAGTCCGGGTCGACAAACACCACCAATGCCCTTCCTGGCTTCTGGTGTGAAAACAAAGGACACATTGGCGCCTACGTTCCCTTCATGTATGTAAATGATGGCGTTTGCGACTACGATCTATGCTGCGATGGCACCGAAGAGTATGGGAACGTCGGCGGGGTCAAATGTGAGAACAAGTGTGTGGAGATCGGCAAGGAATGGCGTCGGGTCGACAAGGAGCGGAAAGAGAACCTCGAACGGGCCAACAAACGCCGGAGGACAATGGTCAAGGAGTCCAAAGAGCTCAGGCGGCGTGTCGAGGCTAAGATTACTAGCCTTGAGGAGGAGATTAAGGGGCTGGAAGTAAAGCGTAACGAGCTGCAGGCCAAACTCGAGGAAGTCGAGCAGTTGGAGCGTGGCAAGGTAGTTAAGAGTGAAGGACCCGGTAAGCTCGGCGTGCTAGCTGGACTGGCCAAGACGAGAATCAACGAGCTCCGGGACACGCTTAGCAGAGTGGTGGGAGAGCGCCATCAACTTCGAGACAGAGTGGCCGAGCTTGAGGGCATCCTGGCTGCCTTCAAGGAGGAATACAACCCGAATTTCAACGACGAGGGTGTTAAGAAGGCTGTCCGGACTTGGGAGGACTATGCAGCTAAGAAGGCCGACGAGACCAAGGCAGAGCTCAACGAGGACGACATCCTCGAAGTTATGAAGGAGGATAGCGAGAGCGCTGGCATCAACTTTAAGGAGTTTGAGGATGCCGACGAGGGCACTGATACAGATATCCGTATGTTCTCTGGTCCAAGCAGGCATCAAGAAAATGCGTTGTCACTAACCTTACCTTGCAATAGTGTACAGTTTTGAAGCTTACCTCCCTGCTCCCCTCAAGGAATTCCTGCACTCTAAGATCATCAACCTCCGGGTCTGGCTTATCGAGAATGGAGTCTTGGCCGATACCAATTCCGGCATGGGAGAATCTCGGCTGGTCAAGGCCGCCCGCGAAGCGCATGATGCGGTAGCTAACGACATCAAGTCTAAGCAACGGACACTGGACGGGGAGAAGAGTGATCTTGAGAAGGACTATGGTGTCGACGACATCTTCCGATATCTCAAAGGCAAGTGCGTGTCGACCGAGTCGGGCGAATATAAGTACGAGCTGTGCTGGCTGGAGAGGACTAGCCAGAAGAGCAAGAAGGGCGGCGGTAGCACTAGCATGGGTAAGTTTGAGCGCATCGACTTCGACGAGGCCGACGAGGAGGAGCGCCACGACGGCAAGGGTCTCGGCCGGGGAAGACGCATGGTGCTGCGATACGAGAACGGTCAGCACTGCTGGAACGGGCCGAACCGGAAGACAGACGTCTGGCTCGGCTGTGCTGAGACGGAGGAGTTGTGGCGAGTGAGCGAACTGGAGAAATGTGTCTACAAGATGGAGGTCGGCACACCAGCTGCCTGCGACGAGGTCGCCGAGCCTGGCTATGCCAAGGACGAGTTATGATAAGTAACGATGGGAGTGATTAGACGTGATGAAGAGCTGTTCATAATATGTATTCCTTACCTGGCGACTACGTTCCTAGAAGGAAATAGCGCAAATAGAGGGCTGACGATATCACATATGTACGATGCGACGTGGACCTATCACTTCATCTAATTAATGCTCTAGTGTGCCTGTGGTATTATTTGCTGCTATATAGATCATTCATTCTTCCTGTCATGTCAGTTGCATGTCCGCCCTTCTTGTTATCTTACAGTCTCGCTCCTCTTGTATCCATCCACCATCTTCCTCCGCTTATTCAGTTCCTCTTGCTCCGCTAGAACCTTGGCGGTCAGGGAGGCAGTCATGGTGTTGTTAATGCGACTCGAGATATCGTTCTTGGTGGCTTTAGCACCCCCACCGTCCTTGTCTTTCTTCAACTTCTTATCTCCGCCATTTGCGCCGTTCTCCTTCGCCGTGGTATCCTCAACCTTGCGCTTCTTCTTGCCGGCGCCTTTGTCCTTCTTTAGACTGTGTGTTAAGCCTAGCGCCGTCAGCTCCTCGATCCGCTTCGTGCACTTCTCTACGTCGGCTTCGTCGGTAGGTAGTATGGGCACTACGTCGCGCGCCTCGAACGTCTCGCTGCACTCGGGGCACTGCTTCTCCGTCTCGGCCATCTCGCGCATAGCCACCTCAGCAAATACATGTCCGCAGGGAACTACGTACACAGCCCTCGTGGCGGCGCCTAGCTCTTTCATGCTGACGGGACAGGCCCAGAACTCCCCTCCGCTGCCGCTGCCGTTCTTCTTTACTTTCCCTTCGCCGTTGTCCGTGGCCGCGCGCAGCATGACCTTCAGCTTCACGACATCCTTCAGGCTTTTTATCCCCGTGCGCGCGAACCCGGCCTCCTGCAGCTCGGGCACGGGGGCTTCGGAGGTCGGCATGAGGCACCGCAGGACGGACTCGTAGTTGTAGAGACGCCCGCGCCAGTCGGAGACGGTGTTATGAGGGTCGAGCGGCTCGGAAGATAGCGGGCAGGTCGTCCAGGCGTGGGTCAGGGATTCGAGGGCGGTGGCCTTTAACTCGGAGGTAGTGGGTTGGCGGGCAGCTTCCTTGACGAGCTCGCGGCGCTTAGGGATGGAGCCGCCGTCATTACCCATGATGGATGGAAGGTATCAGAGATGTTGGTTGGTCGCAGGAGGAGTTTTTGATATATCGGTAAGAAGAGGTGTGAAAGTGTGGGGCGATGTATGACACGGAATAATGTCTAGTAGTGACTAGGAGGTATTTTGTTTATTTTGTAAAAAGGATTCAATGGAGGTAGCGACCTTAGAAGTTGGCGATGATGAAAGGGAATTGATAGGTACCTACCTCTTACCAGGTAAGTTGCCAATAAAGAGGTTGATCAATCGATATGTGGGTGCTGATAAGATAAAGCTGTCCACTGAAGAAATGCGCTAAAAGGACACCAACTTCAAGGCTGCAGCTAAGGAATTATCCCACTTTAGGGGGTGGTGTTGGGAAGATGGATCCAATTTCTATTGGACATGACAGGGTCTCGGACCAAGATGGACCAATCGGCTGTGCCATGTTGGCTCTTGTAGCTAGGTACCTTTCTCCTGCCGCGTCCTGCCGCATTATTGTAAGTAACTTACTTGTAACTGCAGCTGCAGCAGTAAAGCCAAGCTGTGAATTCTCTCCCGCGCTTCTTCCATCTGGTGACAGCAGCTCTGCCTCGACAACTTGCCTTTGTCCATGCAGGGCAGCGAGCTGAACATCCACCGACAAAACTCATTTTTATTCTTATTTTACCTTCTCCTTTACCCTCTGTTTTACGCCTGCTGCACAGACACCACGGCTCTACCCTCTAAGCCTCTTGCGATCCAGCATCGCAAGTTACCCTTTACACCCTTATGCAGTTGTAGCCTGTCTCTTGGAGCTGTTGGACGCAGCTGAGGGAGCCCAGAGCCACACAAACACCCGTCTCTGTTGCCTGCCATGGCGCAACAGCAGCAACTGGCCCTCGAGGCTCTCGACTCCATCACGAGGGACCTCAAGTCGAGGTATTCATGCTCCCCTCCAAGCACCGCTGGATCTCTGTATATACATCTATCGCGGGCTTGTGCTGACCTCTGCGACTCGACAACAGGGCTGGAGATGAGGTACGAAAGCGGGCGGCCGTACAGCTGAGGGATCTGGTTGCAGTCTGCTATAGAGGTGCGCATATCTGTTCTTCACCTTCAATCCATCACGAGACGACAGAGCTTCGGAACCTTCAGCGGCTGATCATACGCTCTACATAGACTTCCAGCCAGAACA